GATGGCTTAAAAGTTTTTAAGCAGCATTTGATGTCATTACCAAGGAAATCTCTACATAATGATTAGTGGAAGATTGGTCTTCTGGTATTGTTGTATTGATTCCACTTTGATTTGATCTTCATGAGATTATGATGTAATTTTTTTTTCACAATTCATGCATTTTAGGAGTGTTCTTGTTCCTTAAGAAAATGAGGAGCATACGAATAGGGGCTATTTTTTAGGTGGACAAATGATTGCTCAATTCATTAGTGTAATTAAGATATGGAAATAATTTGTTGTGATCCCTTTCAATCTCCCTTTTTTTTTCAGAATTCATGCTAAAACATCCATCTTTTATGCTTTTATGCTTCTATGCTTTAAGACTATAGATGTAAGCCACTGCAAGGTATGCAAAATATAAGGCAATGTACTATTCATTTTCATACCAATAGAGGTGGGGTTTTTATCGGTACTATTCCTTTTCATACATCAGTTCTACCGTAACAGAGGTTGGTCCGTGATGAACCAAATACTTGGTACCATAGCTTGCTCATGATGAGTTTATTAATATATTCATTTTTGAAATAAGTGATATACCTGCAATGTAGATATTCTATTTAAAAAAAAATGAAAATGTGTCGTGTGGTTCTTTTGCAGTTGAAACAGATAAGGTGGAGCATTTACATACATACCACCAAAGCCTTATGTATTTACTGGGGCACGACTTTTACAGTATGTGCTTCTTGGTCCAGAAATCGGCTCTTCTAAAGCAGCTTGGAAGGCACATCGATCTTGTGTGCAACCGTTGCGTCATTGTTGCCTTGAGGAAAAATTTATGGAACTTTGCATGGAACAAAATCAAATGTCATTTATTTTTTTGCTTTTTGAAGTTCTATATGGCTGAGTAGATCAAGATGAACAATCTCATTGATGCATTATGACTGCAATTTAAAGATCTCCAAAAAAGAAAAGTTATGATTTGATGTGTAAGTAAGAAATGGACATTGGATTGTTATACCTACATCAGGATGAGTTGACTATTTATTCACCTCACTGATGTTATAATATTGGATTTGGTTTATTATTAACAATATTTAGCTATAATTTTCTCTTCTGTTGTTATCAGAAAAACATGAGCTCAAGGATTTCCGAAACATCCTGACGATTGCTCTACCAATGTGGCCTCCAGACTTCTTTGCTGACGTCACGTCGGCCGCATAACTACGAGAGAAATTTCTATAGGTGTCTACGGAGCATCACAGAACAGTGTGACTTCTTCTGTTGGGGAGACAGTTCGGCGAATTCCCCTGACGACGATGATCGAGAATGAAGAACATCACTCGAGGAATGTCTAGCACGGGAGCTACATCGCTTGAATGTTAAGAATATTATAATCATCATATTAATTGTCATTATAATAGTTTGACTTTTTTTTCTCTCTTGATACCCACTATGACGTGAGAAGCGTATCTGTAATTTTGTACTGTTTTTAATTTAAGTTTTGCCTTAAAATTATTAAATTTATAGCTTTTGGAATTGGCTAGAAATTGCAGAAGTCTAGTTTTTACATATTTAGCTTATAAAGTAACTGACATGTAAGCCCACTATTCATGGATTTACCTTACTCTAGTATTGCAAATGAGAAGATTGTTTATGATATTTTGTCTTCTATGATGACTGAAAATTCTCTCGCTATAAACCAGATAATTGTAATAAACTATTTAGTAAGAGCATTTGCTACTCCAACTCTCAATTATAATACACTAATGTTTGTTTGTTAAAAATGTGTCTCACATATTTTGAGTTGTTCTTATAAAATATGATTTATTTTTGTTATTAGGTTGTGAGTTTAAGGAGAAATAACAAGAATAAAAGATGAATGAATAAGAAAACATCTATTATTTATGGCTCACTATTAAATATTTATTGTGATATCAAATGTACAGGAGCATGATGCAAGTCAAAGTTTTTATACTGAAGAGTCATGGTGTAAATGAGCTGAAGATGGATGGGCTATGAATTCGTTTGGCTTAACTCCTTGATTATCATGCCAAACACAAATGTGTTTAGTCTTGTTAATGAGCGAATAATTTATGTTTTATGCAGTGAATATTTTGTTATTTGAATTTCATGGTCTTCATGGGTCATCAAGGACAACTCAACGTTAAGTGTTGGAGAAGATAATTTATTTAATTTATTGGAAAGATAATTTATGCTTCTAATGTGGCTATTACGCTTCTAATGTGGCTATTGGAAAGATAATTTACAAAATTTGTGCTATGGTTTTAATGAATTTTTATTTTTTTTTTCTTTTTTCTTTATCACTTTCAGTACTCACTGTTAAGTTAGTTGTGCATTTGAAATTTTGAACTGTTTCAAAATGATTTTCTACTTCTGAAGTATCAAATATATATATATATATACTCGTCATAGTTCTGTTTCAAACAGTTTTACTAAATAGGGGCAGAATGAACTTTTTTCCAGAAACAACTACCACACAGCTGTTTTCACACAGTTGCAACAAACAACCAGTCAGCTTCCCCGCAGCAACTTTCTCACAATAGCTTCCTGGGGTAGTGCAGCTGCAGCTGCGCTAAACAGACCCTTAATAATTACAACGATTGGCGATGAATGGTGGCTATAACAATGGTGAGTGTCGCCAATGGACACAGTTTATAATGTATTTAGAATTTACCTAAATTGGAAAATTTTGAAACAAACTAAAGATGAATTAAAAGATATATTTGAATTTATTCTAATTTTACACAGCATTCCCAATTCCTTAAACCAGACACCCATAATTTTAAAAACACTACATTTGGAATGCGACATCACTTATTGAGAAAAAAAGTGAATTTGAACTTAGTTCGAGTAAGCCAGATGATCGATTCATAATAGAATTAGTTATACACCCCCGGTTGGATCCAAATTTTAAGACTGATTTTGACACAATCCAAAAGATTTTATTGCTTAGAAGACTCAATGCCTCATAGGTCTGTTGAAAAAGCTCGTTGTTCGCGAACAGTTCGTGTTCGGTTCGTCAATGAGCTCGTGTTCGATTCGTTTAATAAGTTAACGAGACGAACGTGAACAAATTTTTTTCGTTCGATTAGTTAAACGAACCAAACACGAACAATGATGTGTTTGTTCGTGTTCGAAATATAAAATCATTTAAAATAATTATATATAAAAAATTTATCATATTTTAAAAAATTAAATTTTATAAATTATAATCTGATCATCAGGTTCACCACTTAGCTTATATTAAATTCTATAATTTCGTATTTATCTTCAAGTTCGTCTCTTAGCTTAATTTTTGTTATTTTTCTTTTAGTTGTATTTAGTTTATTTGAGTGGAACCTAGTATTTGGGAGTGAAATCTCGCATATTGCCTTTAGAACTGAACTTTTTTTATGGATGAGATATGATCTTATGAGTTATATAATTAATATAATATATTATTTATATATATTAATATTACGGATGTCAAACTTGCTCGTCGTTCGCGAACAGCTCGCATTCGGCTCGTTCGCTAAGAAACGAACACGAACAGTGATTTCATGAATAATTTCGAATACGAGTTTATTTCAAATAAACAAACTAAATTTCAAACAAACCTAACACGAACATAAGTTCTGTTCGTTCATGTTTGGTTTGTTTACACCCCTAATGCCTCATGATAAATAAATATTTTTAAATTTCCTCATTAAATTCTTCTCAAACACTCTCAATAAATTAAATTCTAATCAACATTTATGTGGAATGCATATGTAAATACCGCTAATTTTCAAAATCCAATTTCATTAGATGGCCCTAGTCAAACAATATCAAATTATCACCCAAATTAATTTTAGAAAATAAGGATGATTTAAAGGAACGTATGAGCGGCACGTGCCACCTCCTAGCGTTTACTTATCCTTATACATAGTAAATATTAGTAATCGTCATTATTTGATATTTTTAATATAAATTTTTTATTTTAAGGCCACTTGAATAATAGAGATAATTAATGTGTCGCAGCAATAAAAATTCCTAGCCTTATCAATGTGTATAAGCGCATGCCCCTTTTAATTAATTAATTAATTATATACATATATTATAATGTGTAGCGTATCTCAGTCTGTTGGTTGGCATCCACGACATAAGACACCTCAAGTCAAGGGTTCGAATCTCTTCTGACATAATTAGCCTTAAGAAAGTGGTACTCAAATTATTAGGGATATTAAGAGTGAATGGAGGCTTCTGAAAATTTTAGTCTAATGTTTTTCAATGTAAATTTTAATTTTATATATACTGCTATTGGTTATTATACCTAATATTAGATATCTATAGTGTTATACAAATAAATTTATATGTACAATTACGCCGTCTTATATATTATGAATGAATTTTGTACAAAAAAAATTGATAGTCTAACAAACTAGGGTCTGTTTGGGGCAGCTTGTGCGTTTCAGGACAAACAATTTATCCTGAAACGCGACCCGCGTGGTTGACCCGCGGCTTGCTTTTAGTACAAAAAAACTCAAACGCGGCAGACAACGTTTTCAAAAACGAGCAAAACAAACGATTCAGCGGCATTTTAAAAAAACGGACCCTAAGTTGAAAATAACTTCAATATATTAACATGCTAATTTGGAAGGAACCATGTGAATCTTCACAAAATAGATGATAGCAACCGCACCTATTTCTTTTATTTGTTATCTATCAAATGGCTGAAAAATACATCATTGATCCGATCAATATAGAATTCGCATTTTCTTATTTAATCTCATTTATTGTTGCTGGTTGCATCACCCCCTTCAATCTTGGTTTTGTGCAAAATTGAGAATAGAAGAAGATAGCAAGAGAAAAAAGAGGACAAAAAAAGGTCTTCTTGAAGGAAATCCCTGAAGCCAGTTACTTTTCTCCTTCAGGCCTCCAACTTTCAAATTTCATTTCCTGGCGTTGTGTTCTACTTGGATTCATCCAACTCCATGACCGCGGAGCTCCATCCTAGGGTTTTAACCCTTGAACCCGTAGGGGGTTTTGGTTCCGACGGAATTGGCTTGTTAATCTCATTGTTGGATTACTGAGAAGGGAGCCTATTCGGAGGAGTTTCGAAGCAGCAGGAGTGGGGAGAGGAAGGAAGACTGGAAGATGATCACGGAGAAGCCAAGCTGGGTTAGGCATGAGGGTATGCAAATCTTCTCGATTGACATCCAGGCGGGTAATCTCAGGTTCGCAACTGGCGGGGGAGACCACAAGGTGAGATTTTGCTTTAGTTTTTTTCTTGATTTTCTTAATTTTCTCCAATGCTTCCTGCTCTCAATATATCTGAAGCTTTGTCATTGCAAGTGGTGTTTTTGGGGGAAATCTGTTTAATCTTTACCTACCTTTGAAAGCCTTAGCAGTTGTTGTTTAGATTAGGTAGTGAGCTTTAACAACTTATTGCGTTCCATTGATAATTCTGGTACAATCTATGTCAAGAAGAGACTGAATAATGAAGAACAGTTTATTTTTTCAATTGTTCTTTTCTTCATTGTTCTCTGTATAGATTCTTTTCCGACATATGTCCAGTTGAATTTGCTGCGTAATTGGTTAAATAGTTTTTGTATGGGTAATTAATGATAACCTTCCGCAATCCAAAGGATTTGTGTGCTTATGGTGGATTTTCGCGTTATGTAGAGGTATGTATTGGATCTGTTTTGTTTGTTTAGTTTTGAGATCAATTAAACCAGTTGATTTTGGCTATAAAATTCTTAAAATTGAACTGATTAAACTATTTTCCAAATTAAATTAAACCTAACCAAACTTTAGTTCAAACTGTTTAGTTTGGTTCTAGATGAACCAAAATACTATGAACTTCAACTATGAAACTAATTATCTTTAGCTTAAGGAGTACTGAGTAAATTTTCCTAAATTTAATAATCTTGGTATTTTGGGTAAAAAATTCTACCATTATATTTCCACACTTTCTTATTTACAGGTTATGATTTGTATTGATTGATTATGTAAATAAATTAATATAATCAGGTGTTTGGTTTGATTCATTTTAGACGAACAAGAACTGAACCAATAATAATTATAAACGATGATTTCAATGACCCTTTCCCTTTCTTCTTTATCATTATTAGTAGATAATGAGTTGTGCATTATATATAAATGTGTTACTCTATACATGTAATCTTGTTATCTTTTTTCAGGTCCGGATATGGAATATGAAATCAGTAGGCAGGGATGCCGACAGTGACCAATCACAGAGATTGCTGGCAACCCTTTGGGATCACTTTGGGTCAGTCAATTGTGTTAGATGGGCTAAGCATGGTCGCTTTCTTGCTTCTGGATCTGATGATCAAGTAATTCTTGTATATGAAAGAAAACCTGGGTCAGGCACGACAGAATTTGGCAGTGGACAGCCACCAGATGTGGAGAATTGGAAAGTGGCAATGACATTAAGGGGTCATACTGCTGATGTGGTAATTAAATGCTTCCCTGAATTAATGGTTTGAGCCCATAGGATAGTTGATTCATGCTTAGCATTCATCTATAGATTCGTTGGTCTTTGGATGCTTTAATATTTGATCTTTTAACCTAGAATTTGATTTTCCATGCTTGAAGTAGGTTGATCTTAATTGGTCACCAGACGACTTAACCTTGGCTAGTGGCAGTTTGGATAACACCATTCATATCTGGAATATGACCAATGGCATCTGCACAGCTGTTTTGAGGGGCCATTCTAGTTTAGTTAAAGGTGTTTCTTGGGATCCTATTGGCACTTTTATAGCGAGCCAATCGGACGATAAGACTGTTATCATCTGGCGCACAAGTGATTGGAGTCTTGCTCACAAGACTGATGGGCATTGGGCACAAAATCAGTAGGCCATAAACCTTTTTTTTTTTTTTGCCCATTGTTTTTTAATTCTTCTTTGAAGCTCCTTTTTGGTTAATTATTTAAATGTTATTTTTTCAGCTTGGTTCAACATTTTTTAGAAGGCTTGGGTGGTCGCCCTGTGGCCATTTTATCACTACCACTCATGGCTTTCAGAAACCCCGACACTCAGCTCCAGTGTTAGAACGAGGAGAATGGTCTGCTACTTTTGACTTTCTAGGTCACAATGCACCAATTATTGTAGTCAAATTCAACCATTATATGTTCCGGAAACATTTTTCCAATGGACAGGATGTTAAGGCTGCATCCACTGGGTGGACCAATGGGACTTCTAAAATTACAGGAAAGGAGCATCAACCTTACAATGTGATTGCCATTGGAAGCCAAGACCGGACAATAACTGTTTGGTCCACTGCTAGTGCTCGTCCCCTCTTTGTTGCCAAGCATTTTTTCTCACAAAGTGTGGTTGATCTTTCATGGTAAAGCACAGTGTCTCTTTTGCTTATCCTTTTTAATTCCCATGGCCTTTATCTAAACCTTAGCCTTCTTGAATGCAGGAGCTCGGATGGTTATGCTCTCTTTGCATGCTCTCTAGATGGCTCCGTGGCCACTTTCCATTTCGAAGTGAAGGAGCTCGGACAGAGATTAACTGATGCTGAATTGGATGAGTTAAAGAGAAGTCGCTATGGTGATGCCAGAGGAAGGCAAGCTACTGTTGCTGAGAGCCCTGCTCAGTTGCTGCTAGAAGCAGTTGCTGCTAAGCAGTCAGCTAGCAAAAAGGGACCCTCTGGTCTACAGCAAATTCAACCAATCAAGCCTTGTACAGATCCAGAGAATCCAATCGTTAATCAGCCAATTACGAAGGCTCCTGAAATGCTGGTTGAAGAGGCAAAGAAAAATCTCATTTCTGCCAATGACTCTTTGAGTAAAACAGCAGTTGGTCGGATATCTAGTCCTGTTAAACAGAGAGAATACAGACGTCCTGACGGACGGAAAAGAATAATTCCAGAAGCCTTAGGGGTTTCTTCACATCAGGAGAACATTTCTGGTGTTGCCAATGTTACTGAATTCTATTCCTTGACCTTAGATCATCAGAAGGATGACTGCCGACAGATACCCACTGACAATGGAGTTCAAGAAGTTCCATTCAAGAAACCATTCAATGCCAACGCTTCTGTGATTGATGGCACTGTGAAGTGCAACAACTTTGGATCTAAGGAACGTTCTGGTATAACGGCAAGGGCAAATATTCATGAATGTTTAGTTATTGAGAAGGCACCCGCCTTAGCTAGCACAGATGGCAGATTGCATGTGGAAACTTCAGGGCTTGTGGGCATGCCAGGTTCCCTTACTTCATGTAGTGCACTTTCTATTCGGGTCTTCAATAAGAAAGATGATGATGATAACTTGCCTATATGCTTGGAGGCCAAGCTGGTGGAACGGTCTATGAATGACATTATAGGTGTAAACAATACATTTTTGACTAAAGAAACTGAAATTACTTGTACAAGAGGCACCCTAACTCTTTGGTCTGACCGAATATCTGGAAAAGTAACTGTCTTGGCTGGTAATGCTAACTTCTGGGCAGTTGGTTGTGAAGATGGCTGTTTACAGGTATCTTAAACTCCAACAGTTGGAAGCTTTACTAAAGTTGTACTTCCATGACCTTTTAACTATTTAGATGTTGTAATTTTGCCAGTTATCTTGAACTTTGAAGATGATTACAATTTTTCTAGCTTTATGTTCCATCTGTATTCTTATGTGTTTAACACTGATCTAGAAAATTGCATGGCGAAAGTTTCTTGATGTTTTGAATTTAGTTATATACCAAATGAACTCTAATGAAATAAAATGATCATGCTTAAACGATATGTTCAGCCTATCTGGTTGCAATCATGTTGTTGACCTACTTACTATAGATTTGCTTACGTACATGATTTTATTTTTGGAATACAATAACAAGAATTGTGAAACAAACTCTACTTGTACCAGTCTTTTCCTTTATGGATTTTTTACTAAATGTCCATAGAGGCTCTAGCTGTAGAAAATGGGCAAATTCATTGTGTTTATGCTCCTAAATGTTTAAGATATAGAATATTATCAATTTGTGTATGTTGCCTTTAGCTTGTGTTCATGGTTTGGCTTGTAGAGTTAATTTTACATGCCACTGTGCCTAGGGTTATTAATGTGAGCTGCGTATATGATATTTTTACTTTATTTCTAGGAAATTCAGCCGAATTCTGATGATTCTATAATTAGTACCGTATGGATACAGCAAGTCATCAATGATGTATGCTGCCTATACTTTGTGTCTATGCCTAGGCTTCTTAGAGTATGAATTTTGCTTACAGTAATAGGATTGCATATATCCGGTTCATATTTTTTTGAGGATTCCCCCAAATGTTGGCTATTCTATATTATATACTTGAATATGAAAAAGTGGGTGCTGTGAGATGGAAACACGACCGATAAGTTGATAATCTTTTGGCATACGGTATTTAAGTTAATGTGGAACTTCCTGAATGTGTTCAAATCAATATTTTTAGCATTCAATGTCTGGGGACCTTGATGCTGCTGATTGCAATGATTTCAATTTCTAAACATCAAATTCTAAATTTAATCTATCGTCAATATGACTTTTCATTAACTAGATATCAAACAGGTGGATTTAACTTGAGTGCGACATAAGTTTAGGATTTTATTTTTAATTAAGATTCCTGCTATATTTTGCACATCTTTATGGAGAACATTGCAGATATTATGCATTATAGTATTCTTCTCAATTAACGCTATGCCTCTCAATCAACGTTTTCTACCTTGAGAATATTCATTCCTGCATTTTTCTGTTCCTATCAAGGATTTTTTTTTTTAGATTTTTATTTTCTTGATGTCATTTTTGGAGTTGCGACTATCTTGTTATAGGTTCATGTGTTTATTTCATGATTTTATCCCATTCTTTTAGTGATTGTTTGTTTTATTAGATTTCAAATTTTTTACAACTTTTTTGCTTAGCACCCTGCAATTTTGTAGATATTGAAAAATGATGGTCTTAATTTGTTTTATTACAAGATCTATACAAAATGCGGAAGGCGCTGCATGCCAGCCATGATGATGGGATCTGCTGCTGTCTTTATAGACTGTAACGAGTACTGGGAGCTGCTTCTAGTCACGAAGAGGGGATTACTCTATGTTTGGGATCTTTTTAATAGAACTTGTATTCTTCATGACTCTTTAGCTTCTCTGGTTTCTTTGAGGGAGGAGACACCATCAAAAGATGCTGGTATGTAACTTACGATCTTGAACTTTGTATCTGGTGCTAAAAAAATTGAGTCAAGTTTTGTAATGATTCAGCTATTTTCTGTGTTTCAAAGTCCTAAATGGATTTTAGAGGTCAAGATTCTGCACACATTGCTTGCATTGACCATCATTTCCTTTTTTTTCTTTTTTTTTTACATGCCAGGTACAATCAGAGTTATATCTGCAAGGTTCTCAAAATCTGGATCACCCCTTGTAGTCCTTGCTTCACGTCATGCATTTCTTTTCGATATGGGCATGAAGTGCTGGCTCAGGATTGCAGATGACTGCTTTCCAGCTTCAAATTTTGCAAGCTCTTTTAGCTTGAGTTCCATTCATGGTGGTGAACTCGGTAATTTGCAAGTTGAAGTTGGAAAATTTAACTCACGAAAGCCAACTTGGACTAGGTTTGCCTTTCTTTTCTTTTTTTTTTTTTCATTTAGCGGCTGAAAAAGGGTTGAGCATTCATCTTTTTTATCATGATATATAGCGTTTGATATACCGTGACTTGTGACTTTGAGTTTCTGCTAAGAAAATGAATGTGAAGTAAACTCCTCTTCAAAGTAAATGTAACAATTTTGTTGCATTTATTTGTGCAGAAATTTAACTGTGCTTCTAGATTTACTTCAAATCAACCAAAAATTTACTTCGCATGTAATTGTATTACAATGCATTGAGATGCACAGAACCAAACAAACCCTTTGATTTTTTTTTTTTTCATCTTGATCTTGGTTTTATCATCACATTTTTTTCTGCAATTATGTTTTAGGGTAACGGATGATGGGATGCAAACACGTGCTCATTTGGAAACTCAACTGTCATCTGCACTAGCTTTGAAGTCACCTAATGAATACCGTCAGTGCCTTCTTGCTTATGTAAGGTTTCTTGCAAGGTCAGTGCCATACTTATGCTCAGCTTCATGATACTTTTCCATTCTTTTTCTGCGTAATTTGAAGCTTTCTACAGTTCAGTTGAGCTTTTAGGCGTAAGTGGCTCTAGTGACGTTTAAGAAATGTTTAAATATAAAAAGTTTAGAATATGTGTATGATAGTGCAGTTGATAAGGTACCATTGTAAACTCAACCTAGGTCTGCTTAATATCTAAAACTGCTAGAGTAGGATTCTAATTTTGCTGATGCAGGATGATTTCGGTTTGTTTCCTAATGATGTGTGGTATGAGGCTTTGCAAAATAAATTGAGAATTCACAGATCATTAGCCACCAACTTACTTTCTTCAATTCAATAACTTACTTTTTTTATATAAATAAAAATACTAGAATTAAAACTTATTAATAATGAAATGTTCGAAATAGTTTGGGAAACTCAACAAAATTTTCAAATTATATAAAAATAGTGAATGATCACAAGTTAGTTTTCACATTGAATTTTTAATGTGCTAATTTTGAATAAATTTGAGGGCTCATGTCAAACATATTAACTTAAGTAGATAGAATACGAATAAGGAATAAAAGTACTAAAATAGTAAAAATATTACCTCAGGCTAGTACAGGTAAATGAGTTCCTCTAGAAATAGCCGCTCTCACTTGTTCCATATTTGAAGGAATCATAGATATAATTTATATACACATTATTGAAGAGAAACTTTTTATGCTCAAAGTTTTAAGATGCGTAGCGTCTATTTATTAACTTTTCATTATTATGATTATGCTAATAAAGATGATTAACATATAATTAACTCAATTCAAATTTAAATTTAATCCCAAAAGTTGAGCATCAATTTCGAACTTATATAAAAACCCATATTTTTTTATCCATTGTAGCTAAGCATGTGAAATCAAATCTCGTGAACATTATTGGATGGCTATAATAATTGAAAACTGAATAATGTAGGATATCTACACGCCTTAAACAAACAAATCGGTGCCGCAAATAGCAGCTATTGTAAGCCTTAAGGAAATTGTGAGTCCTCAGGAAATCACAACTAATGTATGGCTCTACAAAATCATAGCTATTGTAACACAACCGAAAGTGGTGCCAACATTTATGTAGTCAACAAACTCTCAAGAATGAGAATGGTTATAATTTCAATTTCATGATACTAAATATTATAATTCAGTTGTTATCTGACCTACTTAAAAAAAAGTTTTAACATGAAGAATTAAGCTTTTGGTATTTATTGGATAAATGATGATAAATTTTATGCTTCCTGATAAGTAATTCACGATCCATTACAAACAGGGTTGGCTTGCCAATGCACTAGTATTCTCTGAACTTCATCATTAGTAATGAATGCAATCTCATCATTTAAAATAACTTCATGAATAAGCTATATAAATTTATTTGACAGTGTTTGATTTGAATTCACTAGAGATGGATAAAGTTAAGAATCAATAAATTAATTGCAAGCACATGAAACAAGATCAAATGAGAACTATTAAAAATTATTAATATTGGGATCTTCAATCTGTAGGTGTTAGTTCAATGTGTCGCAACTTTTTAGATGACCTTGCCTTCCTCACATTTAATTTCTTAAAGATTGCTGGTTGGACTCATTATAGATTTAAACATAATAATTATATTGCCAAATCAAGACTACATATACATGATGTTTACATTAGAAGAAAACATTATTTAAAATTGTGCAATTTGAGGTGTAATTTAGTATGAGTGAACTACAAAGTGCCTTAAAGCTTGCGTCTCAGTTGTTTGTGGCTTGTCTTGAGTCTAAAGCCCAAGTGACATGTTTATGAAAGGCGGGTGTGAGGGAAGATGTTGATGTAAATGAGGATGAGGGAGAAGAGAAAGAAATCAACTTTGAGGATGATTCTAATGAAGATCCTTTTAGTGATGGGAGTGGGAGAGGCTTTTGAATTCGAAGTTCTAAGTCATACGTAATTTATTTTGGAACATATTTATTTATTTATCTAAGACTTCTTGCTAATTATTGAGTTCTTACATGAGTTTTGATGATATTATATTGGTGCTATTGGATTTCTTTCAAATATTTTTTTGGGAGGAAAAAGAGTTCAATTTTTTTGTAATGTTACTTATTATTGAGTTGTATGTAGGTTTACTCTTAAATAGTTTATTTTGTTATTTTAATTAATTTATTACTTTAATTTTTAAACTTATCACTCAAAAGGCAAAATGCTCAATAACTGATTGTGCAATTACAAATATTGGTATAAAGCTTCTTATACTTAATAGCTAGTTTTTCGTGATATGACCAATATGATATAAAGCAAATATTAAAAATGCCAAAACTCTAATATGCATCTTAAGGAATTGTAATAATGACTTATAATTAATTATAATATTAGAAGATAAAAATAATGCCACTAGAAAAAAAACCACACAATTATCATACACATTCATGCATAGACAACCTCTTCAAAGAAAGTTAAACCAAAATTAACTCAAATGAATTAAAGATTAGTTTTGATGAATTATGCACTTTTAAATTCAACCAAATGAATGAAGTTTTATATTTAATTTTCTTTTAAGACTTTTATTTTTAGCAAATTCTTTAAAATTTGATGTCAAATAGCTTGTTAAGAGGTTCATTCTATGAATTTGTTATGTCATTAAACTGCAAACTAAACATAAATTTAATATTAGAGTGGTTAACCATCATAGTGAAAATATCAACAAATAAATTATTGAAGTTATATTTTCAATTTTCTTATTTGATTGACCAACATTTTTTTTCACAATTAGAAAAAAGCTCAATTCCTTTTTGTGATTTTAAACATAAATTTTATCCTATGCTTAGTGAATATAGGGTTAACTAAAAATTGTAAACAAGATAAATGTGCCGTATTTAAGTATTATATAAGTTTTACTAGTCTTGTAACTAAATGTTATCTGCAATTAGAATATCTTATTATTATATTTTATTTTACTGAAGATCTTATGCAATAAGTATGAATCAACTAATCTATAATTTACAATGAGACTTACATATAGCTTTATATACGGAGAAATATTACAACTATTCTCCCATTAAGACTGTCGTGCCCATGTTTGTAAGAAAAGCTCAGAACGTCTCACCTAAAGTTTATTGTCAATTGAGAATTCATCAGAACAAGAAGCATTGTATAATAAATTTAAATAAATGGAGGAAATCATAGTTCATGAACACTCATTGAGGATGCTTTCATTGCAGAAAAGTGATTTGCATTTACAATATAAATCTAAATCTAATCATAGTGAAAATACATTTAGGCATATCCTAGTAGTTTTGATTTGGCATGTTTTGCTCTTTGGAAACCAACAAAATATATTTTTCAATGAAATATTTCAAATTGTTGATCTATATTAAAATTTTTTTATGACCATACCTTTAATCAAGTGGAATGTAATTTGAATCTCTAGATAGCTACAATATGTATGTACGAAACTATAACTTACCTTATTAAATTATTTCATTTATTAATTTTCTTATTGACCATATTCATATGTTATAAATTTAATCAACATGATGTGCAACTATATCCTTTAAAACCAATTTGTTTCAGGATGATTCATGTTAGGGTATTTAAATGCTACTAATATGATTCTTAGTATGAATTTATGCAAATTAAATTAAGAATCCAGATATCACAAGCGATCAATTAATTCAACAATATATTTTCTTTAAATGTTCAGAAACAAAACTAGAATTAAAACTCAAATGATTATGCTATGATCGGAGTAATCTTAGAAATTTATTGAGGACTTGAAAACTAAAATTAGTGAATAATTGTAGCTAATTTTCTACAAAAATTTAAATTAATCAAGAGTACTAATCGAATTTATATACAGGAACAGGGAATGAATGTACTAAAATTAATAATATATATATCTCATACCGATACAAGCAGATAACTTTCTCTAGAATTATGTGGCCACTCTTGTACTGCTGTTGAAGTAATAACACATCCAATATTTGCACTTAATATTTGAAAATTGAAAAGAGAAATTTAATTAAGCTGAAAGGTTTGAAATTACTTGGTCAGAACATCTATTCTTAGGCTAGTCGATATAATTTGCTTAGGATTTGCTCAATTTAAGTTTAGATTAAATCCAAAAGATAAGAATCAACTTCAGCCTTAGTTTCAAATCCCATATATTTCTTGTCCATTACAGCTGAACACGCCATTTCTAAATTCTATTAACATTATTGGGATGGCAATAGCTTCTAAATGGTGGCAGCCACAAAAAACCACAAGTGGCAGCAACATCTACACAGCCAGGTAAACACTAAGTGCAAAAATAGTCACGTTTTCCTAAACAAGAATGAGAATGCTATATTCTAGCATAATTCGTCCAAAAAGCCATATGACCATCCATTCTGTGATTGCTTGATATGTTTATTTTTTGTATATCATGTTGGTGCTGGAACCTGCAAGTTCATTAATTCGATAATCAATTGTAAATTTCTGTGTTAGGAACATAATTTCAAATGAATGATTTATGGTGATTGATACGCAATGCATATTCTTGATGTTATTTAAATCAGGGATTTTATGTAGTTTATTACCTCTATTTAAATCACCAAATTTCTAATGATCTGACCTACTTAACATATAATTTGTATCCTGAATCATACGACATTTCAGCATTGCTTTATCTTCTTCAGTGGTATGAATGACAATCTTTATTCCGTTTGCATTTTCGAACTTATTTTGTGTACGTTTACTATCAGAGCTGATTTCTGATAAGTACTTACAAACTGAGTTGGCATTTCCGATCTGTCAAGTATTATGGCATTCCTCTATCAGCCTTCATTGCCATTTCAAAATCTTCTTATGCTCTCCATTTCCGATTGCATGTGTCCATGTTAAGAATTATTTTTCCATCATGCTTTTAATTATCTCAAGTATGATCCTTTGCATCTTGCTCCAATCTTTTTCCTTGCGGTTTCTGCATCATGAGCTTTTTTAAGGACCATTTTATTTTATGTAAATTAGAAGTTATCTCTCTTACCATTGTGGTTTTTTGGCCGCAAGCAACATGAAGTTATAATTATTTTTTTTTCTTTTGCCCTTTTCTTTGCAGTAACTAGTGAGATTTCTCTTTTCTTCTTCTCATAAGACGGAAGTTTGAACTCTTATCCTTTTATAAGTGAGTACTGTTTTCAGCTACCAAACTCCTAAAACCTTGTTATTGTCATCATCACAACAATATCAAGCAGACATTTCTTTCCATTGCAACTTAAAAGGCCTCCCGAAGTTGTTATATGGTTGCTTTCTGTAGCCATTTTTTAAATAGTTGTAGGATGACATGTACTGATTCTCACTTTATAGAAATATGTTCATTATTAGGATTGTTTTCCAGTTTTCCAAGGTTTTCATTTCCAACTTAAACCATTTTATTTTGGTTGTTGTAGATGTTAAACTAATCTAGACCAGTCCAATTTGTGCTATTTTCCAAGATTTTTGCATAGTTTCTTCTTGTTTATTGTCTTGACACCATGCAGTACCATGTGCAGGTGATGAACTCTGGTGAGCTATTCTAGGCAAATTTTGGACTAATTTATTTCTGCTAATTAGGTTTCAGAAATGAAAGACGTGTCCATTTTTGAGTGTTTCATATATGAAATGGTATTTTCTCTATGTAAGTAGTCTTCCTGTCCTTGAGGCTGTTGTGGTTTACTATGCACTATGAAGTTTTTAACATGGAGAACAAAGTGGGTGGCAATGGTAGGTCGCTTTGGAAGTTTTGAATAGAGTGAAGGACTGGGAAAGGAATGGCCTTCGAGAATGGTAGGAAGTAGCCTGCAGTATCATGATAGAGGAGGTGTGAAGAGAGCAGAGGGTTTTTGGCTAAAGTTTTGAATATGTTTGCTCAATATTCACATTTGTCTTATCATTTATAAATACGATTAAGTTTTGGATCGTCATACTGTGAAATCAGGTATAAAATTAGTGATGCTTTATAATTTTAAGATGCTTACTTTTAGTAACCGAGATATTGAATACATATTTTGTTGCATATTGGTAAATGGATTGCCAAGAAGCCAGTAGCAGAAACATTAATATGATATCTACTTAACTTGATAAAATAAATCTTATTTTTTTAAAATATAAATTTAGCGTTATTTTATTGCTGTACTTCATAGAATTTTAAGGCGGGAACTTCCTGAACATTCATAGTTGCAGAATTCAAATGCATGACAGAATCGACTGTACTGATTGACAATATTGGCTTTTTAATAGCTTTTTGCTACATTCTTGTGCCATTTCCAATCATGTTTTATGTTCTTTACTGGAGACACTATATCGAGTTTTCCACGTAAGACAAATTTGTTAAACACTGATAGGGATCACATGAAACGATAAATCCTCTGTTTGGATTAACATGGTACATTTATGCATTCTTTACTGGATTTCAAATGGTGAACTAAGGGCGGGCAGCTTATAAGTGCGGGCGGATTTCTCAATTAACAAGATTAACCCTGCCATTGCCTTTTTTATGTTCTAAATATCAACTACTCTATCTACCTGCAGATTCTTACAACCTCTGCTTATGGAAGTTCTTTTTGTTGACTATTTATTCCTAAAGATGGTATAAATTAATATTATTCCATGGATCCCAAGAAATCAGATGTATGAGAAGATGAGAAAACCTATACTCTATCTTCCGTTTGAAGGAGGAAAATGGCTGGTAGGGAAATTTTGTCCTTTTTTCTTAGTTTATTTTTTTTATTTTTTTAATTTTTGAAAATAGAAAGTGACGACGGAATGTTTAGGTTTCTGCTTAATTTCCTTGTTACTATTTTATTTGCTCATTTATTATCAATATTCAGCTGGACATGTCATGGTCCTTATGAAGTTGTCTCATGTAATTCTCTATGCATTTGAGGTTTTTTCCCCCAAAAAGTCAATGCAGGCAACTGCATCTCCTTCAGCTTAGCTTCCCTGTCTCATCTGTTTACTTCTATTTTATTCAATATTATTTAAGCTAAACATAACTTGAAGGATGAGTTGAACTCTGTACATTATGTTGCTATTGCAGGGAAGCAGATGAATCCCGCTTGCGTGAAGTTTGTGAGAGCTTTCTCGGCCCTCCTACAGGAATGCTTGAAACTGCATCCTCTGATACAAAGACATGGGATCCTAGTGTTCTAGTAAGCCCCCCACAGCGAGTCCATCACCTGCCTTATATTTCTCTCTCATACACACATCACCCCCATTAACATAAATACAAAAAAAAAAAAAAAACTTGTATCGGAATATTATGATAAAAATATTTCCAAGGATTAGCCTTCAAACTATATTTTTTTTTGAGAAGAGTGTGATGCATATATAATTAATTAAGATTTGCATTACACCTATCTTGAGGTATATCCAATAAATTTGAAACACTTTTTGATGAAGAATTTGATCAGGATATCTTGATTCAATTTTGTTTTTTTAAAGGTTTTCTGCATAAACAGTAGCACATGAAATGTCAAACAAGAATCTGGATGAATTTAGTTTTGTGAGACTTGAATGTTTAATTTCTGTTTCCACAGGGAATGAAGAAGCAGAAACTTCTACGCGAAGACATTCTTCCAGCCATGGCATCAAATCGAAAAGTCCAGCGACTGCTAAATGAGTTCATGGATCTCTTATCCGAGTATGACACTCTCGATGCTAACACTGACCAAATGGACTTCGTCCCCACGACGAAGGATGCCAGTTTATGAGTCTAGATTATTTCTTAAATATAGAGTTTAAAATCAGCCTTTTTCAACAATGAGTAACCCATGTTTTTTTATGTAGAGTATGCATAGTAATATAGAGCTAAGCCATTAATTTTTGTTCCCTTCCGACATGAGATTCCTCAACACAAAATGAGATTTCTCATAACACCTTAATGTTCATGTAACAGCTGTTTGTCCAAAAGAGCCTTTTTTTTTTTTTTTTTTTTTTGTATGAATAGGCAAAATCTGTAGAGATAGTCTCAAATGAAAGCAAAGGCTGTCATGCCTTTTTTTCTACTCGATGTGAATTTGTTCCATTGTAGTTATGATTGGACCTGCTGTTGTAAATTTTAACCACATTGTTGCTATTCTATGTGCTTCAAGCAAGCCTGAACTCATTCTGTTTTCCTTGTATGGCTGGGCGGATTCAAGCATGCGGTGATGGCTTTCCTTAACGCTTGGATCTTACTTTGTAAAAGATGGAGCTTTCTCAATGCAATTATGAGTCCAAATCATGAATGATATGGTTGAACAATCATAAAGCTAACTAATTTCTTAAAAGCCATCAAGGTGACATGCATGTGATATTTGTTGAGTTGAAATTGGTTGAATTTTGTGTAAAAAAATCATCTTTTAGCTTTCTTTAGCAAGAAATTAGATGATGTAAAATAACCCATCTCAACCTATGATAAAAAAATTATATCATCATTTATTCTTTAGAGACACGAGCACCCTTACTTTTTATATAAGGAGTTCATTCTTAATTCAGATCATTATGCACTCATATTCGTAACACCGAATACAAATCAAGTCATACGTATATCAAATATGTTAATTTTTTTTCACACATTAACTTGTTGAAGCTGTATCTAGAATAGCCTTGTCTATCTCTTCTATCAAACTCAAAAGCCTAATATTTGGTTGACTTTCAAATGATATTCAAAACTTTGTAGCATATGTCTACCTTGTAAGTAAGTCAAAACTATCAAATAAAATTTTGGTCAGCACGTTGCATTGCTCATTTCTTATCAAAATTGAAAAGATTTCTTGATAAATTTTATCATATAACTGTTCCATATAGGCTGAGGGCATGATAACATATTTATAATGGTTGATTAATTTTTTAGATAATTTATTTTTAGCTCTTTGAAAAAAACTAATAATGCTTCCTATATTGTTAAATTGATCATTAAAAAGTATATATATATATATATATATTCAATAATTCATTGTGTCAGGCTATGATATTTGATTTATTTAATATTTTTAGAAGACTATGAAATTCGGTGATCATTGATTTAAAACCATTATATGAATTTTATCTTTAAATTGATGGCCAAATTAAGGTATTTAATCACATATTGGGAAGCCTTCTTCTTGGTTGTGAATATCTGAATAACACGAACTCGCCTCCGTGGATATCTTTGATTCGGAACAAAGCAATTAGAATCCGGTATTATCCATATGGGAGATCCATCGACCTGAGACGAAGAGAAAGGTATGTCTATCTTCTTGAGTGATTCAATGAAACCAATGATTCGTTATTGGAGCAGATAACAACAACCATTTAAGCGGACGATGCATTCCATTTGTACGAATCACGAACAGATAACAACAACCATTTAAGTGCATATTTATCTAGTTATTAAGCTTAATTTTTTAGTTTGCTAAAAGAATAAGGCATCTCCCAATACCCCTATCTAACTCACACTAACATGACACCATAGCTCCATAATTGTTGGAAGAATTTTTGGATTTCAAACCCATGAAGTTCAACCAAGGCTAGGGCGCACATGCCCCCACAAAAATTATATATAATAAAAATTTGTTTATGTAAATATTTTGACATTAGATTTTAGATAATGCTCAAGTTAAATTTGAATTTCATTTCAAACTTATAATTTTGAATAAAATACTACTAAAATATTTTGATCAATCATTAAAATTTTTAATAAATTGAAGTTTGAAACAATTTTTCATAAATTTTTTTATTTAAATATTTTATAATAATACAACACACAAAATCAAAATTAAATCAAAATTGAAATTTGAAACTGATAAAATAATTGAAATAATCAAAATTGACGCATGATTTTGAAGAATTTCTTGTAACCTCATGAAAAACTAGAATATATATTTTAGTCGATTAAGATTTGTATTATTCCATAGAGATAATGCACTATATATATATATATATATAAAATTACCTAAATTTACATATTTATTTATATTTATGTATTTGTTCTTTTCTTAATCATTATGAAAATTGAAAATATTTTATTTTTCTTAAAATTTAAACTTAAATTTATTTATGTTGTAAATAATAACAAAAATTAAAAATTTATAAATACTTCAGATTATTAAGTTGTAATTAATATTTAGAATATTATTTAAAAAGTGAGATCATGCCCTCTTGAAAAAAAATTATTAGCACAGCCACTGGTCGGAGGAATTAATGTGGCATATCAAGTGGACAACTTAAATTAGCTACTATAAATCAAAAGCAATGACCTAAATAAGAGTATGTCCTTGAACAACACTTTGTTTCATTTTACTTGAGTGTTTTTGCCTTAAGCTTTGTGTCGGTTGATTTTTTATTTTGAAAATAAATTTAATTTAATATGTATATAATTTTGGTTTTGAAAATAGTATCTTAATTTTAAAAACATGAGACCGAATGGATCTCATTCATATATCAATTTAGATAGTTGGGCACATTACTACAAGTAATACACTATCCCAAGAGATGAGTATGTTGCTTGTTAGTAGGCTCAACTATTTAAACTAATAAATTTATGATATAAGTTTAGTCTGGGAATTTTGTGACCGACAATTACCTTTTCTAATATAAAGATTAGATAGAGTTTATATTATGTGGATTCCTAATTCCCTATAAAGACAAGGCCTCATAGTTAATTATATCTTAAATGAGCGAAGTCATTTAAGAAAACCATAGATAATGATTAGATGCTTCGTCTTCAAGAACTCAAAGTTCAGTTTTCACAATTGGACACGAGAAATTCCAGCGGGAAGGACTAAAGTAGAAACAATTATTTTGGAGACCAAAAAAGCGAGAAGTGAGGGATGTCACAGACTTTGAGGCTAACCTCAATGACTTCCCAAACTATCCTATTGTTTGACTTTATATTTTGAGAATGATGTTATTTGAATATTTAGCTTACATTTGCATGACACAGTCATATAAATAGCCTAGAAAGATAGAAAGGTTTACGTCGTACTGAATGAACAAGCTCAGAATCCTAAAAGAGTTAGGGTTTATATTGCTAAACATGATTGTACAAAAGCCTAAAGATAAATTGAGGATTCACACTGTGATAGACGAACAACCTCGAAATCCTAGGGATCTATGTTATTTAAAACTATGGAAAGGGTTTTGTTGAGGTAGATCTGCTTCACTATTGAGTTTTGATTGTCATATGAAGTCATCCTCCATTCACTTGTAGCTTGTTCGGAATCCTTTGTCGTGATGGTTTCAGTTTCAGAGTTTATGTTTGTACTGGTGATAATTGTTTGGTTTCAGGGCTTGCTGTAGGGTTCCTCCTAAAAAGGTGACCTATTGTTCTCAACCTCAGAGGTTTTTGTAGGTATATTAAATTATGTATAAGTAAAAAATGTTGTAAGATAAAATAAGAGAAAAATAAAATAAAAAAGTGACAGTACATACATACCGCCTCCGACGCTATTGCCAAAAAGTTAGCATTGTAAACATAACATTCAAGTATTTAAACAAAACCCGAGAAACGCGAGCAGGTGCAACAAGTTAAATAACACATATAGAAGATCAAGGCTAACTGTAAGAATTTTAAGTTGTGGAGTGGACTCAGAATCAAAACCGAAGCTCTAACAATTTCTCGAGGGACGTCCGTATGCAGCCATCAGCATCATGTATGTGAGATCCAACATAATGGAAAAGGTTATCCGCAAGGCAATCAAGAGAGGGTAACTCCCAACCCGGTCTATGTGACTGACCCACGCACTTACATATAAGTAATGTATAATTTTCATTTAATAGCCAAACAAAGACTTTATCAAAAAAATATGTTATGTTTTATGTACCTACATAGTTTATGAGCGAGTCACACTGTCGGGCTGGAGCTACCAACATCCCATGAGAGTAAGAGGTAACTCTTTACTAAATGATAGAGAATAGTAATGTCAATCATTGAACCTTCTGCAGTCATTGGGTTATGATATACAATACTTCCCACACACCTAAACACTTTTCTTATCATAGCTCATACCATCAAAACCTCAAACTTACACCAGCCCAATAATCCATATGTGGCCATATTTTAAATATCCTCAATTGCTTAAAAGGTTTTGAGCACTGTATCTATGACCCAAACTCTTGAGCATTGGGTATTACTGAAGGTTAAGTCGCAACGAGATAATTCTCATTAATAAGTTTTAATTCAAAGAGACCTCAAATAATATCTAGGTAAGTCTTTATGTTTTGAGGATGATTTTCCTCAAAAAAATCATAATAAACCCAAATGTTCAATGAAATATCCAAAATCTTGTAGGGGTGTTCAGAGGGTGACCCTGAAGAACTTTAGAATCTCTTTGACTATTTCAAGTTCATTTAACCTTACTATATTGGTAAGTCAACCATGTTAAATTAGGAGTAATATTATTATACCTTAAATTGTGCTCAATGTAAGTTTTTTGATGTCTTAGTCAACTCATGAGTAAGGAAGATGGTCAACCTTTAATGTTTTAAGAACCATGCAGGTAAACACCCCTGAGGGGGTGTCATAGTTAATTAAGGAATTGAGATCATTAAACTATGAACTCATTTTGTTTTCCTTATACAACTAAAGATTTTATAACATCTGTTTGGTTTGCAAACCATTTTTTTATATGCTGACAAATTTTTCTATCTAATATGGAAGATTAGATAGGGTTTATAGTAAGCTGAGTTCTTAAATTTTCCTATAAGTGCAAGCCCCTATAGTTAATTATATCTTAAATGACCGAAGTCACTTAAAAAACCCTCAATTTAGATCATGAAATCATGTCTTCAAGAATTTTAAAATGTAGGAATTTTCAAAGATCGGACAATGAGGTGTGAAATGGGAAAGGCTCAAATATGGAAGATTTTATTTTGGAATCCAAAGGAAGAAGAAAAAGGAAGAAGAACTAAGAAGAAGAACTAAGGGATGCCACAGATCCTGAGG